GTAAAAGCCCATCAATTATATGAGAGCATCAATTATTTATGGGGAATGACAGCCACAAACCATGAAATTTGTAAACGCTGAATAATAAACTCAGCTGAATAAGAAAATTATGGCCACGGACGGGGGAAATCACATTACATGGGTTCCTCTTTTTGCTTTTTAAAGAAAAATTCTGAGGGAACCTGACCAGCTAAGAGTTTCAGAAAATCCAGCCTTGTCCACTGAACTGAGGCCTTGCCTCAGGCATGGCTCACTGACCCACAAATGGACAGACACAATCATGATGGGGCCGCATGTAAGCAGGTGAATGAGAATAAAAGACAACATGCAAAATGATGATAATAATGAAAACAAAGACATGGGAGAGACACCGAGCTGGAGTGGGAGAGAATGAAAATGAGCTACCTTGGTTCTTAACGGAGGTAGAGTCTGGGATTCTGTCATTCACGAGACCCCTCTCTAGTTCTGCTCTAGTTCTGGCCCTTGGATTTCAAGACTTCTTTTTTTTTTTTTTTTTTTTTTTTTAATGCAGTTCACTTATATAACACACTCCCCTTTATGTAAGCTAGTTTGACTCTATTCTATTTCTTGCAAGCAATCTCAAACTGAGGCCAAACCCAAGTTAAGGTTATGGTGATCTGAACAATTTCACCATGTCTTTCTTGCCTACTTTTCTTGAGCTTTATGCTTCAATAACCAAGTATCTATTTGAAATCTTCAAATCTAAAATCACCTCAGACTTAACTATCCATAATGTGGCAACACAATACTTGCTTTCTTCATGTTTTCATATAAACATGCTCTTATAATAATATTCTTCATCTCAGCAAATGCACCAAAATTTACCCAGGCCAAAAATTTAGTTGTCATCCTTGATTCTTCTGTTTTTGTCATATATCACATCTGACTTACCTTTATAATAGACATTACTAATTTGTGTAGATATTCAGTTTGCTCTATTCTGAACATACAAAAAGACTATATTTTCTTGTCTCCAGGAACTAAGTTCCTGGGTGCCTTTTCCTGGACAATGACATGTGAGCGAAAGCTCCATGCATCATTCCTTTGTAGAAATATTTCTACAAGGGAATTGATTATCTATCTTTTCTGGTCATGTGATAGATGATACTTCACCTGGTAGAGTGTCTGTCAGCCTGAGCTTGTAAGTCAGATCCCTCTTCTGATTCAAGATGTACAAACAGGGTGAATAAGAAACAAACCTCTGTAATCCCAGCACTTTGGGAGACCGAGGCGGGTGGATCACGAGCTCAAGAGATTGAGACCATCCTGGTCAACGTGGTGAAACCCCATCTCTACTAAAAATACAAAAAATTAGCTGGGCATGGTGGCACATGCCTGTAATCCCAGCTACTCAGGAGGCTGAGGCAGGAGAATTGCCTGAACCCAGGAGGCAGAGGTTGCGGTGAGCCGAGATCGTGCCATTGCACTCCAGCCTGGGTAACAAGAGCGAAACTCCGTCTCAAAAAAGAAACAAACCTTTGCTGTTTGTGATACCAAGAATTGGGAGTTGTTTGTAACTGTAGCATAAGCTACCCTATCCTAACTGAAAACAGTCCTCTAGTCCTGTTGGCTGAATCTTCAAAGTCTACCCAGAACTTGATACTTGTTACCTCCTTTTGTGCCATCACTGTATTCCAGAGCACTCTCATCTCCGGCCTGGATTTACTGCAGCTCTCTCTTCATGCGTCTACCATTTCCGACTCTGGTATCTTATAAATATCAGATATCATTTTCCAAAGAGCAGTCAGGCTTGTTTGTTAAAGGTGAATTATATCTGTTATTCTGCTGCCCAAAACTTTTCAACAACTACCCACTAGAATAAAATTCAAAGTCTCTCTATGAACCGCAAGACCCTGTCATGTGACCTCTGTTTATTTCTCCAGACTTGTCTCCTGCCATTCTTTCATCTCTCTGCTTCAGTCATGTTGGGTCTCACCATAGCTAGCAAGCAGTAAGCTCATTCTGTCTTCCGGGCTTTTCTCCTGTGGTTACCTCTGTGTGGAATGTTTTACCTCAAGGCCTCTATGTGGTTTGACTTCCTCCTTCCCATCGTACAAATCTGTGTTCCGCCGGGCACGGTGGCTCAAGCCTGTAATCCCAGCACTTTGGGAGGCCGAGGCAGGTGGATCACAAGGTCAAGAGATCGAGACCATCCTGGTCAACATGGTGAAATCCCATCTCTACTAAAGATACAAAAAAATTAGCTGGGCATAGTGGCACGTGCCTGTAATCCCAGCTACTCAGGAGGCTGAGGCAGGAGAATTGCCTGAACCCAGGAGGCAGAGGTTGCGGTGAGCCAAGATCGCGCCATTGCACTCCAGCCTGGGTAACAAGAGCGAAACTCCGTCTCAAAAAAAAAAAAAAAAAAAAAAAAAAGTCTGTGTTCCAAGATTATATCCTCTACTTTACCTAAAAACACATCCTCCAATCCTCCAATTGCCCTGCTTTATTCTGTAAAGCACTCTTTGAACTTTCCTATTTCTTTATTTTTTATATTTGCTTAATTTATGTTAAGCAAACATAATCATTTTTCTAGACTACCAATACCACAAAGCAAGGATTTTGTTTTTCAGTGCTCTGTCCCTAGAATACATTAAAAAAAGTATCTGGTACTTAGTGGGATTCAATAAATATTTATCAAATGAGTGAATTAATGAATAAGTAGCTTAAACAATCAGGACATCAAAACAATAGTGCAGGCATCCCCAAACTACAGCCCACGGGCCGCATGCAGCCCCCTGAGGCCATTTATCCCCTCCCCCCCACACCGCACTTCAGGAAGGGGCACCTCTTTCACTGGTGGTCAGTGAGAGGAGCACAGTATGTGGCAGCCCTCCAATGGTCTGAGGGACAGTGAACTGGCCCCCTGTGTAAAAAGTTTAGGGACACCTGCAATGGTGCAAAGAAGCGAAAACAATTAGAACCAATACTCTTTTATACATCCTTAACCTAGTCTGTTTGTTTAACAGCAAAAAACAAATCAAAATACTGCTAGATAATCAATTTATTCAGCTTTTATCTATTATCTACCAATTATAATTCATTTATTTAGAAAAACCTGGTGTGTTTGAGTTGACTTACTTAAATTGGCATATTGAAACTAGGAGTCTTTTTAAAAAGGGAATCAGCACAGGATATGCTTCAAGTTGCAAGAGCAGAAACTGAGTTTCTCAATCCAAATTATCTATACTTTCTACAATGGACCCAAGAAATTAGCAGAAAAATAAAAGGATATGAAAGGAAAAGAATGGACTCAAAGATAAGATCGGTAAGTGAATTAAGTAGAAGACACTAGATTAGAAAATTTCTATGGAAAATAATTTTCCAAATAATTTAGCTAGAGAGAATCAATGAGCAGCATTTGTCGACGAGCTGTGTGTGTGACCAATATGTTTATTCTTCATCACCACATCCTCAATGATGTGAGTTTATGTGTATGTCCGTCACATGCCAAGATGATGCATGAAAACTTCCTGCAGCAGGGCATATCCTTCCATTGCTACTCCAGTGAAAATGACGGATACGCACTGATACACTTGCTCAGTTGTCACTTCTCACTCATGCAACGTGCTGCACTTTTGCAAAGCAGATAATCCAGGTGTGGAACATTTACTATGACCAATTGATATATTGAAGATAACTGGCTTTTAAAGGAACTGAGTGTCATTTTCTGGCCTCGGTGACATTCCAGTGAGGAACGTTCAGTGAGTTACAAGAACTGGGTCAGTTTCTTGTCTCTGTGACTTTCCAAGGTTGAGTGAGTCATTTAACCTTTTAACGGAGAATGCGGATGAGGACAACATATACCTATCCTAAAGATTTCATAGGTTGTTGTGAAAAGAATATAACACATGTCAAAGACATGTTTTGTAAGCTGGCTATTTCAGCTTTTGTTTTCCTTCTGCTTCTTTGAGGTAATTTAACATATCCTTTAAATTAAAGTTGCCACATTTATACAGTTCAAAGTAAGAGGGAAATAAAGGGTAAGCACGAAAATGGATAGATTTGGCCCTGTGGTCTTTATTTCTACTTGAGATTAGCAATGTTCATATCCAGTTAAGAAATGCTGAAATTACAATACTTAGAAAACGGCACTGCTGTTTCTTAAAACACGCAAAAGTACAAAGTGCTCTCTCATTTGAAAACCCTGTCACCTGTTTCCATACCTAATCATTGCCAAATAATTCATCTCCTACCCAAGGGAAAAAGCCAAATTCATGGTCCATCCTAAAATGAAACACATTATAGCCATCATGTGAATAACTGAAAAAAAAAATCAGGAGAAAAATGCATAAGATTGTGCATTGTCTGAAACCTCCTTGCTCTAACAATATGTAAATCGACACATCTCTGAAATCTAAAGCTCGTGGTCTCTAGTTATTTTGCTGCTTTGTTTACTTGAGTGATTCCCCTGTTCATCGCTAAATATATCACAAAGATTTTATTAAGTAAGCAGAGTAGGAGGCATGATGAATACTCTGATGAAGGCATTTAGTTTCATAAGAAATCCTGCTCATAACGATTTTGTGATCAATTATCCAAGCCCACTTCAATCTCACACTCAGAAGTCACTTCAGGGAAGTGATAAGTTACAAATCCAAAGAACACAGGATACCAAACAATTACTGTACCCCAGGAATCTCAAATCAACAAAGATATCTCTAAGGAAAATAGCATAAGAAAACTCCTTCTTCCTAATGAAATTCATCCTGCTCTCTTTTTCATGAATATAACACATGCTACCCTTTTACTTATGTAAAAGATAAGATTATGGCTAAACGAATCTGATCACTTCACCCATTTTCACCATCAAATAGACCAAGAGAGTTATCCACGTAACCCAAGTGAAGAATGGTCAGCTAGCTTTGGCTCAATGACTAGGTTGAGCTGCTACTTATAAAATTTATCTGATTTTTTGCGGGGAACTGAGCTCAAATTACACCATCTCGGATGTTCACTGATCATGTTGTTTCTCCTACCTCATGGTGATTCTTGGCAAGCCATTCCTTAATGGTGTTGAGGGCAATGACTGCAGCAGGCTCGTTGGGAAAGCCTAGATGAAGAGCAGAAAAAAAAAAAATGAACAATGAAAGATGAAGGCAACAGAGAGGCTAACCATGCTATGATACTGGAGTTTTCTCATTTAAACAATCTTCAATTCAACCAATGGTACAGGCCTCAGTAAGATGTACGTGGATATGAAGCCTGTGATCCTGCACACAGGCATTAAGAGGGCTGGTCCTGCACCGGTACAGACTTTAAAAAAAAAAGACAATAAATTATTTGTCTCTATTCCTAAAACAATATCAATTAAAAACATATTTACATATGCTTAATAGATTACCATATTCTTTCATATTGTTTTCTTGTAAGACGTGTTCAGATTAAAGTTGATTATCCTCAGTTTAAAACAAAGTACATGTGTCTCAGAGAAAACACATACTTAGCCCTGGGTCAATTCTGCCAGTCACAAGGCCAGCAGAACTCCACCAATGAACTATACCATAGAAAGCTATCATCAGAATTCAGAGGGTAGCTCCTGTTTCACTCGGGGCCATCAGACGTGATGCCTGGAATTCAGATAGCATGAACTAACCAGGTCTTGTTTTATAGGTTTGGTTTTAGAAGAGCAAAAAGAATCACAGACTTATGCCTTGTCCCAGGGAGCAGGAGCATACATGCTCAGAGACTCCCAAACACATTCAGAATATCGGTTTAGCTGATCTAAATCAGACATGTTCCTAGACCTGCAGAATTATCAGACATTCTGCCAATAGTGATGGTATGTGAAGGAATAAACTTATAAATGTATATATTTATGGAGCAGGAAGAAGAAGAGATGGGAGTAACTATGCTACTGAAACTACTCTCATTTGAGCTCATCACTGGCTTCCTAATCACCAAATCCCATCACCTTTTAACTTACCTTCAAGCTCTCTAGCATTAGATATGTTTGACTCGTTTTTTATGTTTTATTTCCCTCTCCCAGATTTTTATTTTTAAGTTTATTACTTATTGTTTTAAAGTTTACAATTCAGTGGTTTGGACTATGTTTATAAAGTCTTGATTTTATAGACTAATTCCCGAATATTTTTATCACCAATCTAGAATATTTCACTAGTTCCAGAATATTTGTATCATCCCATAACGAAACTCTGTACCCGTTAATGGTCACTCCCCGATCTGTCACCCAAAGCCCCTGGTAACCATTAATTAACTTTCTGTCTTTACGAATGTATGAATTCTCCTCCTCAATTTTTCAACCCTGCCTTGTTCCATATCTTCTTCTTCCTGTTTGACCGATTCTTTCCAGGTTTCTTTCTCTAGCAGCATTCATTAAATGTGTGCCATTCCCAGCATCCTCAAGTCAGCCTTCTTTTTTCTTTTCTACTCTGCCTTGTCTATGAGGATATCTTCTAGTCAAGAATCTCCTGGGACATTGTCCATACAGATGCAGAAAGACAGAGAGAGATGTTCCAGAAATGGAGAGAAGCAAGACTGAAAAGATCCGGTTTTATTGGAGGGCAAATATGTATTCTAGTAGTTCAAACTGATGGTTAGATCTCAATAGGTCTTCATAAAAAAAAATGGGTGAGAGGACAGAAAAAAGACAGATACTGTCCCCATTTCCAAGACTATGTGTTGCTTTTCTGATTAGGTTTCTACAGGTTTTGCTAGAGTGTGTGTTAGGAAAGGCGACAGAACAAATCCGAGTCAAGCTTCGTTTTTCTTACAGACAATAACTGTGACACAGAAAATGTGCCGAAGTTCTTGAACCTTTGTAATGTCTACCAAATTTGGGATTGTGCCTTTGTTACGAATAGTGTAATCCTATTCATGTTCTTTAAATGAATGCATCAAAATGTAAAACCCTTAGATTTTCTTTAAAGTTGTCAGTTAATTTATGTAAAAATTATTACTGAACCCCACATGAGTAGCTACATCATACTTTTAATGAGTGCCTGTCCTCTAAAAGCCCAAAGTCTAGGAGAGGAAACAGACGAGTAAAGAGGCAAACAAAACGCAGCGTGACTAGTGGATTAGGGGTGTGTGGACACAGACGAAGAGGACTAAGCAAGAAGAAAGCGTGGGCTTGCAGGAAATAACAGAATATTTGAAGAAGAGAGCTGTACAATGGGGAGCCAAGGAGACGTTATCCTCAGAAATAAGCTGCGAGTTCCAAGGAATTAATGGGAAAGGTTAGGGAAAAGCGAAGCGGAGAAGAAAGCAGGAAGATTGTACGAGTGAGCTACAGAGGAGGAGGAGGCCAGGATGGGCATTTGCTGTTAGGGGATTAACCACAGGAGGCCTTATCAGTTCATCTCTGCCCTGAATTGAACACCTGCATTCACAATTGCCTGGATACCTCTCCTTGATATGCTTCAGCACCAGAAATGCAAAACATGTTCCTACCTAAAACAAACGTCGTCCTGGCTTTCTGGTGTCTGTCTATGGCTTTACCTCTCTTCTAGTTACCTCCATATTTGACTGCCTTCCCTGCCAATAACCGAGTCCTAAAGGCACTGTTCCTCTGAACTACTGTCCACCTTCCCTTCCTTTCCTCCCTTTCCCATTGATTTCATTCAAGATCGGCCCTCACCCAGACAACTGCAGCTGATAACTGTGCTCCTTTGGTCTTCCTTCCCTTCTCCAATCTATCCTAGGAGCCACTTTCAAGTGTTTCTTCCCACAGCACAGTTAACATTACACCTCAACCTTCCGCAAAACAGAGGCAGCCTTTGTTGACTCTCCGACACAGAATAAACATGGGCACCTTGGCTTAGTGTTACACATTCCAGGGACCCCAGGGGGGCTTTCCACATGGATGATTCAATTTTCTCTTATTTATTCTCAACTTATAAAATTCCTCTCCAAATTTTAAGTATGTTTAATAAGTACTTACATCATAAAATTATAGGGCTATACAAATTAATAAATACTGCAACCACGCTCAATTGCAATGACCATCAGCATTAACATTCACCTTTAGAAGACATAATTCCCCACAAAGAAATTATACAAGTTGTCATAGAACCATGGCAACTCTGGTCAGTTCTCAATTATTTGTGACCTCCTGATCACTCTGTCATATTCATCAAAGCATCTGGCACTGTGTCATGGTTTTCATCTTAACCTCAAGGTTTGCTATAACCCCGGGTGATTTCAACATCCAAGAGAGGGACTCACCCCACACCTAGCCAGTCCAATGACCCCCTCATCTTCCACAACCACCTCCTCCACGGATCGTGCTCTGGACCTTGATACAACATTCCAAATTCAAAGTTACTAATTTAAGCAGGGCTCTCTCAAAACCCGTTTTCTCGTTCGTTTGCCTAGCCACCTTCTAAGGAATACTCTTGCCAGCATTTGAAGCCAACTCTGGCTTCAAGCCACTCCCCCAAGTCAATGGCAACATTTCTCGGTGAAAGGAGCTGGCTCCTCCCTGTCTCTCTAGCCTCATGTCATGTTGCATTGCTCTTCGTTTTCGCCACTCAACGACACAGCCATCTTTCTGGTCTTTGAATGCGGTATTTTTATTTTGCCTTCCTTTCGTCATAAGGCTTTGTTTGTGTTCCTTCCTCTTTCTGAAAACACATTTTTTCCCCTCCGCTTTTCCCAGTGTATTTCCATTTTATTCATCCTCTGCTCCGTGACCACTTCTTCAGGAACAGCTTCTCTGACATTGATGACTCCCTATGTTGTGTTTTCAAAACACCATGTACCTTTACCTCACAGACCCATCACAGTTGCAATTCTATATTTATTTATGTAAATATGTGATTAATAACCTTAATAGAGTGAAAACTCTGGGAGGCAGATAACAAATCTGACTTTGCTTATCACCGGATACCTAAAACATTGCTAGCACATAGAGAATAATCAGTAACTAGGTGTTGAATGACTGACTGGATTACAGACTTGTGGATCTTTGCACATACTGACAACAGGAAAAGGCTCACTCCTGGGAGCACAAGGGTGTTCAGCCTTAGAGTACAGGGAGGAGGAAGGCATGCTGAAAAGGTGCTCAACAGATTGTTGTATTCAGAATATCCCTTTTCATCCCTGGGGAAAATTACTGAAAAGGCTTATGAGAAAATCTAGTTCCTGATAGGAAGATATTTTGTGATTAATTAAAAGGGGAGAAAAATATCAAGATGAGTATTTCTGAAAATATGCCTGCTTTCGGTGGACGTGGATATACAAGATAAAACATGATGCTCAGGGTAAACCGCAACAGGACAATTCTTTCTCCACTTAACTGCAAGACCTCCAGGGTTACAAATAAGACCAATGAGTGGACAAAGACAGATTTTAGCCTACGGACGGGCTCCCAAGAGAGTAAGGCTTTCCTCAAAACATCACAACATATTCTGGTCACCAGGAAACTTTTGTTCACAAAAGCAGAAATGGCCACCCAGAGGGGAGGCTACAGACAAGCTTAGACGAATCACTGAATTAGACGACACGGGAAATTTCCTCCAAGTATGACAGTCAATGGGGCTGAACAAGCCATGAATAATTTAGGGCCAGGCATGCAGAGTGTTGCACGTGGGTGTGTATGCAGGTGCACACAGCTTCTGTGCTTCTACTGGCATTCTAGAGCTTAGTTTTCTACTCATTAGGATGGCTTCATAAAATTAACTTTTATTGTAAATGTGTAAGTTGCCTTATACAATTTATAAATAATTTTTTTCTTATTTACTTTTGTCTAGAAAGTACTTGCAATTTTTACACACACGCGCGCACAAACACACACACACACACACACAGACAGACACCCCATTATGCAACTCAAGGTACAGGATACTTCTAATACCCCAGAAAGCTGCCTTGTCCTGAGTCAATGCCCAGCCCTCAAAATAACCACTACTCTGGCTTCTATGATCGAAGGTTAGTTTTCTGTTTTTATAGTTCACATATACAGAATTACATAATGTGTGTTGTTTTCTGTCTATGGCTTTGTTCAAAATTATGCCTGTCTGATTTATTCAAGGTGTTACATATAACAGTAGCACACTTTATTGGAGTGCTGCACTCCATTGTACGGATATT